GTCTATAGAGCAATAATGGAAGTAATGGACACAAGCGGTGGGAGCATATTTTTTTATGGCTGCGGGAAACTTGAATTGAAAAAAGGCTTATTTTTCCATTTAGTCAACCGCAGTTCGTACCATATCAAAAAATACTATAACATTGTATGTACAACTTAGCATTTTAATCTGTAAAACGAATCCTTTGAAATTGTTTTCTCCTAAGCCAGGTTCTCGGATTTGGTAAGAGAGCCGTTTTGTCCCACAAGTTCAATTAACGAAATCAACCTAGGGCAGTTTTTACTCTATTGAAACAAATTACTTCAAGTGTAGGTGACGATACGCTGTTCATTTAACTCAGGATTTTTAGCCATTTTTTGGGCGGCATTTAGCTTATTTTTTGGGTGGCAATGACACAGCACGTTTTAGACTGTTTGTAGACATTCAACTTTTCTATACTAGTTTGCTAGATATTGCCTTTTTTGAATTTACAAGCTACAAGTCTCCAATTCAATTTTTGAAATCTTATTAAAAACGGCTATAAAATCTTTACAGCAAGTTAGCAAAAATTTCGAGCCAAACCAAAACTTGAACTTCTATATACTTTTAACCATCTTGTTGACAAAACCCAGAGCAACGTGCGTGTAATGATATGGAACTGCTTCGTTATCTGGCAGAGTAAATTCAGATAGAGCAAACAGACTGATTGTCATGCTTATATTTCTCTGCCGGATTTTCGAAAAACTTTTTAGTCTAATTTTGATCCAAGTATTGTTCGTATTGTCCTAGGTCTCAAATGATTCGATCAAAAACTGTTAAAAACGATTAATTTGAATTCATTTTTTAAAATTCGTAGGTGTCTGGTCTGACTGGTCCAAAAAAAAAACAAATAAGTTAGTTATGGAAAATGATTGGTTCACAATGATGCGGATACCCGGGTTGACGTCCATAGAATAAAAATGCTTGTCATACAGTTTCATATTTGAAGTCTATGGAAAAGTGCTTATCATACAATTATCATGTATGAAAAATATAAAATAGTCACTTCGTCATAGAAAAAACAAAAATCATCAAAAAACGTGTCTGGGTAACTTTAAATAGATTTAAACAAGTATATCTATGATACAGGGCATATTGACAATCAAAAACAAATTTAACTTTGGTCAGATCATAAAGTTTTCATATATGAAAATTGTATGATATGCATTTTTTTCATAAATAAAAATAAAAATTTGAGGTAAAAAACTTTTTATCCCTTTTTTGGCTGCAAATTTGCATTGTTCTAAAATATAATTTTTAACGAAAAAAAATTGTGCATGCAAAATTTGACATTTTTGTGTTTATAACGTGGTCCAGGATGAGTTTCTCACCCAAAAAACCCAAAAATTACATGAAAATGTTTTATTTTTTAAAAACACGATTATTATCTTTTATTTCATTTGCTAAGATAAAAACAGGCTTTTTTTCTCAACCATCATAATTTTCAAGCTAAAAGTTATCCAGCCATATTCAAAAAGTTACTTTTTTGGTATATATTTCCATTTGAAAATGTTAAAAATATTTTTTATGGCTTAAACTACCAAATGCAATTTATTTGCGTGGTAAATGACAGTCATACTCTGGGTTTTCTCATGACAAAAATTCCTTGGTTAGTGTTTCGGTTGAAACACGAAATTTCGAAACCAAAATTTTTTGAATTTTCATTTATGAGAAAAATGCTTATCATACAATTTCATAGTATTGAAAAAATGCTTATTTTGCTATTCTCATACATACACTTTTACTCTATGAAACTGTATGAAAGAGTATGGTAAGCATTTTTTTTATATATAAAAATTGTATGACAAGCATTTTTTGTCAACCCGGGTAAGTGGAACACATATTTACTTATGAGCAAAATATCTCTGTTTGTTGTTATGTACTTCGTTGTCAGTGTAGTGGTCGTTAATATCTTGATTCTATCAATGATTGCGATATTCATTGCTAATACTATTGTGTTGGATTTTAATGTTGAGTGCTTTTTCAATAATTTTGATAATTTGGCTCTAGAAAAAAAGTATACTGTTAGAGGTAGCTGTATGACTGATGTGAGGCAATTAAATAAGATTTCCAAAATCTTCAATAGATTAGCAAAGTTACAGCATACTTTTTTTTGATGTTGGGATTTTGATCATTTTTGTGGCGTGGATCCAATTTTTGTAGGTCTTACGTTAACAACGTAAATAGGTAGCGTGATTATGATAGTATGAAAACTTTTTTTTGGAGTAAGGGATGTTGATATTGATTTAATAGTTTAATTAGCTGCTCTTTTTTATTTTCACTCGCTGCTAGTGGCCGCACTAGATAAGATGAGACTGTGTTGTTGTCTCATAGAGCAACTTCATATAGATATGTGAAGCTATCTATTTACGGCCGAATAGGTCAGTGCAGTTGCTTCTTTCAATACATATTATCCGAGAAGCAACTATATGATTGAAATTCCGAACAGATTCGACTGACTTCATTCAACAATGGAAACTTCAAAGTTTATCTCAGCAAAAAGTTTCAGTTAATTGTTAAATTTGTTTGAAAAAAGGCGCAACGCAACAGAAGATTTTAAGCCATGTAATTTTTCAATTATTCTCTCATAAAAAAATGAGAATTTTTTATATATCTAGAACGTCTGTGAAAGTGTAGATTAACTGAAAAGTGTTAGATTTAGTGAGGTAAGATAGACTTTAGAGATTTGATAGTTCAGGGAGTGTGGCATATACAATTACTTATAAACAAAAGTATCTCTGTTAGTTGTCATTTTCTTATTTTTCTGTGTATTCATCGATGGCATCTCATTACAAGGCCAAACTGTGCATTTTGTGAATTGTAAGCAGATTCCGCAACAGAAAAAATCAGATTTGTCCCGGAATCTGCAAAATTGCTATTTTTCTCTGATCTTCTCTGCTGTTTTGGATTCTACGGACAAATAGTTAAAACACTGTTTTGCTCAAAATTGCTCTAAAATAGACAATTTTGGGAAATCCGCAACAAAATGTGTGGAATCTGGAACAATTTTGTGGAATCCATGAACAAATAATTTTATATGAGGTTAGTAAAATTAAGCTGTCGCGGATTCCGCAACTAAGTGGAATCCGCAAATTGTAAACGGAATCCGCATAAATTTGTGGAATCCAATTACATTTACGGAATCGAAAACAAATACTTATATTTGCTCGTTGCGGAATCCGCAACAAAATCAATATGCCGACAGATTTTACGTTACAGTTATTTGTACTCGGAATCCACTAAAAATTTATAAGTGGGATCCACTTACATTTTGAAACATGTTCTAAGACTTGTATCTGGAGTCCAGGAACATACAGGCACAACATTGTGCGCTTATCCATTGCACAGTTTTGCCGCGTAATGCTTGATTATAGCAAAGGTAACGATGATTAATCTTATTGTTTTTATGTTTGATTTTTGTGATGTTTCAATAATTTGGTAGTAGTGGTGATAAGTCTGAAATTGCTGGATGACTGTAGTGTATGATGAAATACATGTCAGTTTAAGGCGTGGATGAATTTTTCTTGCAGGTCTTTGATTAACATAAAAAGGCCGGGTGATTAGTATAGTATGAAAACTTTGTGTACTGGGAGTATATGACGATAATTTTGTTGTATTAGATTCATTAATTGATAATGTTTTCTTTTCACTCGTTGTTACTGGCCGCACCAGATAAGATGAGACTGCCTCGTTATCTCATAGGGTAATTTCAGATAAATTACACCCTCTTTTTTCATCTTATCTAATTTCGGCCGAAAAAGTTAAATCAATTACTTCGTCTAATACTTATTCTCCGAGAGTCAATTATATGAATGAAACTTAGAACGAATTGGGCTACTTTTTATCAACATTGGAAGTTTCAAAGTTTTTTTTCCCCAAAAAACTTCAGTGAAACATTAAATTTTGTAAAATACAAGGCGCATCACAACTTGCAGTAAGTTGCAAATCAGGAATTTTTAAAATAAATTTCTTTGAGAAATCAAGTGTTTATAAAAGTTTCCAACCAATTTTTTGGTTTTTTTTTTCATCCAAGACACAATTTTTATGGATATATAAGAAAGATCCAATGAAACATTCAAAAATCCTGACACATTTTTAAAATTGAATACGCTCTGAGAACCTTTTTCGACGAGTATGATTAGTTCGGCTCTGGTCACAGCCACTGGCAAGCTGGAAAAATTTGCTTCAGGTCGTAGAGCGATAAGGAACCAGAGACTTTTGAAGGCTGAAAGTTCCGATGCGTTTCCTATCTTCAAATTTGAACGAAGATACAAAATTTGGGTGGGGAGGGATGCTCTTTAATCATGCGTCGGAGGCTTTGTCGAAAAATTATGGCTTGACCATCAAAAAAGGTTAGATAGAAATAACCGAAATTAGGGCACTTTTCTAAAAAAAATCGTGGCCCAGACCAGAAGTGAGGAGAAATGCACCTTTTTGACATGCTTTCTTGAAATTGTTAGTGATTCGGATCTCGCTTCGTGTTGATTTTTTCAAATTTTTCAGCAGTTCAATTTTTTTCAGCTTTCAGCACTGTAATATGATCACGTAGCTGCGTCTAGGATACTTTTCAGCCGAAGGATAATTTTCCATAAAACAACAGACGGAGAATAAACACCCAGCCTTCATTAGAGGCTCAAATTTTTATAATTTAGTTTTCACTTGTTTGAGGAAAAGTTATCCTCTGGCAAAAAATTCCTAGAATTGCGCTTACTTGACAAATTGTAATCATTCGTGTTAAATAATTCAATGATAAATTTCAAATAGATAACGGAATTCCCTAATGTTGTGGAATTATTTTCTGCTACCATTTCAATTAATTCCCAAATTTCCATTTCCCAGCTTATTTCCAATTTCGTCCCAAATTATACAGCTCTTTTTCCTAATTTGACACAACATCCTGTTCAATTTCAGACATTATTTCCCACTTTCTTGGCCCATTTTATAAAAAAATATTCATGGTTCAAGTTGTATAAAATTAAAAAGCCGAAAAAATTTAATTAAAAAAAATTGTCTGTATATCATTTACCTGTCAATTTTTATTCAGTAAAAAACTTGAAAAAATTCCATAATTCGATATGAAAACTGAAAAGCTTTATTTCGACTACCTGGACAAACTGGATAACAAATCGATACCGGGTTCGGGTGTCAGTCTTTTTACAGCCCAGATTTCTTCGTCTTAATATACGATTTGACGTTCAGCTTATAAAAGACATCCATTAAATCCCCTTTTTCAAATCTGATAAACTCTCACTGAAAATTACTTCTTACTGAAAACTGCTTCAGCATTGTAGTTTTTATTTCATTTGATTGTCTGAAGATCGACTTTTTGACGCATTTATCATATTTTAGAACGACTCGCAAAAGCAATTAATTATCCAAACTGACAACGCTTAAAAATCACGACCTTACTTCGCAGTCACTAACTTGCAATCAATTGTTATTAACTTCCCAAACAGAAACTAAAGCGCTCCAGGTAATTTTTTTGACTTTTGAAAAAAAAATGACATTGAGAAAGTTTGGAAACCTGCATTAAATCTAACGATTGGAACCGTAATTTTTTTCCCATTGGAACCGTGAAACATTTTTTTGTCCATATCATCCGGATACTTTTTTCATCATACTCATCACCTACAAGAGAAATTTATCGCGTACAAGTTGACTTGCATAACATAAGTCTAAAAAATTGTCTTCTTTTTCTAACGGCTCGAACGCTAAAACAAGGCAAACTGTTTTTGATCTGTCCAGTCACTGGCCTAACCCAGAGATATTAATTGAAGACTATAACTAACGTATGTTTATCTTACGAAAGCTCACCTTGTAAATTGCAGCGCAGGTGCAAATTGAACCCGCAATCACATGATCGCTGGGCCCAATCACTACCGATGCACCAAAACACCACTTGTCAGTTTAAAAACCCGTTTTGAAGCAAATATCAAAAAAATTGAAATCAAGTTTTCCAAAAATGCGAACAAAAATTGTTGGGGCTCGGTGAGCTTGCAAAAAAAAGCGTTCCAGGCAGCTAGCATAAAAACGAAAACATTTAACAGTACTTTTAATTCGACATCATTTTTCTCACGGCGTCCATGAATTTTTGTTACTTTTGTTGTGCATTAGAGCTTTAAAATTTCATCGGGCAATGGCCAAGATAAGAACCCACAGCAACCAAAAAGATTATTTGGTGACAAAACCGGATCGATGAATATATGATCCAAAAATTCGGTACTTCATAAGGGGTGGGTGTTTAGGGCTTTCAAAGGTGTAGGTGAAAAGAAAACAGTAACAACTTGAAAATAGGTGTTGAAAAAATCCAACAAGTTTATTTGCTACATTAAGCAATGAGTACGCAAAAAATTGATAATTGGCTCCAATACAAAATCAATCTTGATCAGCAGACGTTATTTTAAGTTGCAATTAGTTGCTTGGAAGATACTCATGATGAGTTATCAAATTGTAATTTTCCCAGACCTTCGTTAAGTTTGTGACAAATAAAAACCGAGATGGATTTACTATCGCTCGGTACATTTGTTGATAACGAAACGGATAATTTTCGAAAAAAAATCATTTTTTCAAATCAAAAGTTTTTTTTTAAATTTGTTCATGATATTTAATACTTCAAATAACAATTGTGTTGAAATTATTACTAAAAATCAGATTTTTTTGTGATCTAGTCCAAAACATCAAACAAAGCAACTGAATTAATTGGTATGAAAAATCGATCAGAAAAGTGTTATTTAATTTTCATTTTGACTCGCAAACAGGTGGTACATTTCAACAGCAAAATATTTCGGGCAGGAAACTCTATAGTTTAACTCAGCAAACATACCTCCCTGCAAACTCTCATCAACCGCTCTAAATTTGATGCTTCAAGAATCCAGAGCTATAATCAACGTAGGAACTTTGTCAATTTTTGAAATTGCCAATTAAAAATCGTAAGTTTCTAAATACCTTAACTTGAAATACCAAAAAAAAGCAGTAAACACTTGAAACCAGTAAAAAAAAAAACAGTAATTAAAACCAATTTGAGATTCGCAAACTTTGAAACAGAACCTTGAAATCTGGCCACTGACCAACAGGACGAAGAAATAAAGCTACTAGACTGATGCAGAATCATACAAAGAATGGGAGACCAAAGAATGCAACAAAATTATATCGATGAAATGAAACTGAAAACTCTGCATGAAATACAAAAGCACACCAAAGAAATGACAAACTTAGACTATTGCAAGCATCGTACATCTATTTTCTTCCAAGCATATTATAAAGCATCTTCACAGAAAACGTTTCATGTGATGTTCGCAAACTTTAAAACAAAAACCTTGAATTGTGACCACTGAACGGTAATTACTTACTCGAAAACCGTTACAAACTTTTATTGAATTTTCTCTACTGTCGTTACAGTAGAGAAAATTCACAAAAATAGTCTAAAACATAACAATTGTGCTAAAAACCGTTAGTAGTTGAGAGGAGGATTGAACAGCTAAATTTGCCTAGAATTACGGCGATTTTTGATTAAAATAAGGAAAAAAAAACTTTTTTTTTCATTGATGCATCCACGAACAGCTAAAAATAAACTGAAAACAACTAAGAATTCAGTCCTAATTTGCGAAAAAAAATAGAAATATGTCGGCCTTGGCAATTGAAAGGCTTTGGCAACTGAGTTTCCGTAGATGTAAGGCAATTTTTGATAAAATTATAGAAATTTTAAAACGGAAACAAGGAAATATAAAAAACTCTTGAAATTTTTGCAATATTTTCAAGACCAAAGGCTGATAATTGCTATTTTTTTCTTTGTTTCATAGGAGCTTAATTTGGTGATTTCAATTATTTAATCTGTTTGCTGGAAGTTGCTTCAAGACTTATTTTTTGCAAATGTTCAATCAGAGATTTTTTTTACTCCTATGATTCAATTATGTTGTTTCCTGTCAAACTTTTGCAGAGTTTGTTGATGAAATGACCACATTTAAGGATATTCACTTCGCAACTTTTCATCAAAATTGTATTGGGAAAAAAACAGAAGTTATTATTAACTTCGGTAGTATTGTATATGGAGCATTTTAAATTGGACGAGGAAAAAGAAGAGCAGTTAGAAAAAAGCAGATGAGATAGAAGAAAAATTAAAAGGCTAAGAAATTATGTTTAATTTAGATTTTTTATACAAGAAATCATTTTCACTGAGCAATTGAGTAGGGGAATTTAAAAGTTAAGGACGCTAATGCCGACAATCAGTTAATTTCAATGGTCTCTAGATGATTTATTGAGCCGCTTGATCATGCACGGGAAGCGTAGTCAAATATGGCTCTTATTGACGCTTTAAAATTTGAAATAGGGTCTCGTTGGTTTGAACCTAGTTTGATCCTGCTAAAGTTTTCAGGACTCCTATCCTGCATCTGGCTGTATCATCGGACTGTCTCCAATGACAGAAAATACCTAAAGTAGGGTTGAAGTAATGCTTAAAAGTTTGAGTTGCGCTCAGCGGGAAAAAAATACTGTTTAAAAATACACAATTAATTTTCTAAAATCTTTGCTCTAGAATTAAAAAAAAGTTACTGATCTTTTAGATGACGCACAAAATAGTTTACGTGTTTCAAAATAGAGTTTAGGGAAGCTCAACTTTTTTTGAATGTGATGCTTGCTTGATATATTTTTTTGTCCAAGATATCCAGAGTTTTGAAAACGAAACAAAAACACGAAGCCTCCGTACTCCGAGAAGCTCCATGGTGAACTTTTCCAAATGGGGTATGGATGTTCGCCGAAACACATGGCGACATATTTTCATTGAAATAATCACTTAGCCAGTGGAGTAGGAATCTTTGAAGGGGTGTGCCATAAAAAAGCTCACTAAGGTGAGATTTCACAACATGACGAACGAGGGCCTTAAAAGGTCTAGTGTAGCAAAGCAAGGTTAGTGCGTAATGGAGGGCGACTCTGATTAAAATTATGACACGAAAACTGAGTGCTGACAATGACGCAGTTGTAGAGTTAAATGGACGCGAACCAAGTTGATGCTGGTCATTTGGTAGAAGATTAGAAAAAGATGTATGGATGAACATCTCTAAAAACTTAGTAGCTGGACAAAAAAATTTTATGATGCTTTAAATATTTTTGTGACATGACAAGTTTGACAGCTAAAAACTTTTTATTTTGATGAACTGTTCTCCGACATCAAACTGCTGAAATTAAGAGTAATTGCAAGTCTAGGGTATGGGAGTTCAAAGTTTATCAAAATGATAAAATAGGCAATACGAACTGGAATCCTGGGCAGCCTGGCTGATCGCAATGCCTCTTTAGTCTACTGTGGTTCAAACTAGATTCATTGAAAAAAGGCATTTGTATAATTTGCGTCTCGTTGTACAAAATGGTTTGTATGATGTAAGGGCTCTGTCGGTAATTCATATAGCTATAAATAGTAGAGAAGTTATGGACTCTGAGTCAACTTGGACTGGATCTATAACAAAGACATGCTTGCATTTGTTTCTGGGTTTTCTAAATTTCTAGAATATTTCAGTGACAGAATGCTTTTAAAACGGTTTGGAAAACTTATTTTGTAAAGTCAAAAATGAGTGATTTTTAGCTAAGACAAAGTTGAAAATCAAACAAACAAACCTAAAGTTTCACTGACAAAAGTTTCAGAATGCGTAAGGATGAGATAGTTAGTAGAATTCTTGCCATTTTTTTTGCAGAAATGCTACTATGGCAACCAAATTTAATGCTAAGTACTTCAAAATCTTCTGGCGAAACTAACCCTGTTAATTCGTCACAGTTTTTCTGAGGAAAACAGGTAAGAGTTCTGAGGTCTGTTGAAAGTTCTGAGGTCTGGCCGTGCAAGTGAGCAGGTTGTGTCTTTGGGAAGGAAAGCTCTCAATCTAAAAAACAAAAGCGGGCTAAAGAGTTGAGAAATCTTACTGCGGGTACAACTGGAGACGCTTGTTCTGAAGGGTCAATTTTGTGGGGAGGCATAAAGATAACGTTAGCGAAAGTAATTTTGTCATGGAAATTGTTTACTGCTTTGTGGTTTAAACTGAAAGCTGGTTTGAAGTATCTTATAGCAAAGAAAGCGACTTCGTCTCAGTTTTTACTTTCAAAGATTGGTTTTTCGCTGAGCCGATGGTTAGTAATTCTTTTGAGAAAATTGAAATAAACGAAGTTGAGTGCGAAAATTTGTTGAGGCCGTTTTTGGAGATAAAAATGAGAGGCTAAGAAATTCTGGTTTTTTTGACGTTTCAAACTTCAAAATTCACTGCGTACTTGGGTAGTATTTTTCAACAAGTACTGACCAGCGCTAGCTTTTAGTAAGCTGTAGGTGATTTTTCGAATAGTGTGATCATGCAGAATTGTCAGTTATGGCTCCAATGAGTGCTTTGTGAATTGAAATTAAAGTCTCCTTGTTGTTCAGCTTGGACCTGCTAAGGCTTTCAGGACTCCTATCCTGCAACTGGTTTTTTCATCGGACTGTTTGCAATCAGCGAGTAGGGTTAAGAAAGTTAGCGCTCAAATTTTTGGGAAATTTTCTCAGTGGATCAGGCGCATTATTTTGAATATCAATAGATGCTTTATAAAGTCATGGTTATAAGGAAAAAAGTATTACTGATCCCTTGAAGGATTCAACATGTAGGTAACGAGATTCAAAAACCTTCGTAGAGATGCCGGTATATATTTAATGCTCACTCGAAATCTCAGTTTTTGGAGAAGGGGGGAACTCGTTCGCTTATGAAGTGAGGCGATCCTTTCTTAGGGGTGGAGGGGCATCTTGAGAATATTAAGGTAAAAAAAATGGTGATAGTACCGAACCCTAGGAAACTTCACGCTAACCTTTTTTATGGGAAAATGACTGTTCGCCAAAACAAAAGTCGATTTGACCTTCATTAAAACACTCACTAAGCGGGAGGATTAGACTCTCTGCAGCTCACGATTGTGTCATGAATTAATTCAGGAGTGAGGGATGACACGCCATGTGAGAGCCTTGAAAGAACTAGTGTAGCTGGGACAGTGCGTAAATGAGGGCGACTCTGATTAAAAGTGATGAGGCGTAAAACTCGAAGATTGACAGTTCCACAGTGGTTGAGTGAAATGGACAGAAACGAAGTAGATGCTGGTCTTTTGGTCGAGGATTGGTAAAAACTGTATGGATGCGCTCTAAAAGTTTCCCTTGTTGGGCAATTAAGTGATAGGATGCAGTCAGCTATAAATTGTTTTCTGAATTATTCGTTTGGAAAGTTTTAAAATTTCAAAAAGTATAGACAGATATTTGTTTTTCAAGCTTTCCACCATTGAGAGAACAAAATGTCAAACAGGAAACTGTTAAACTAAAAAATTAATGCAAGTGGTCCGAAATTCCAACTTCATCAAATAAAAAGTGCTCAGGCCATCTCGAACAAGTTATCCAGCAGATTTGCTAATCGCAATGTCTTATTTAGTATGCTATTTGGAAAATTGAGATAACTTGATAATAGGAGTTTGTATATTTCGCGCTTCGTTGTTTGTATGACATAAGGGCTCTTGCTTAAGAAAACTGCTTGTTTACTGGTGTAGCTATAGCTAGTGGGTAACTGATGGACTTCGAGACAGATTGGGTTGGGCGCATACCTAACACAGGCCTGAATCATTTTAGGGATGCGATAATCGCAAGTCTGGAGGAAGTTAAGCCTTTTGGTATCGTTGACTTGTTTTGGGGTATTTTATCGTCGTATTAGGACTCCTTAAAACAACGGATAAAATAATGGAGATTTCCTCTGAAGGAGACGGGGCGAGGTGGATGGAAGGGTCAGCGGGGATAAGGATGCGGCTACCCTGAGGGTTAAGTCCCAGAGAAAACTTTGCTTCAGAGAGGCTCGACTGGATCTCCTCCTTGAAGCTTTTCCAGTCGCCTTTTCCAGTCTGAAAATTGATGTACGTCATATCGACAAATGTCTGCTCTTTTGTTACACCTAAATTTGGTTGCTTCCTATATTGATCTTGGTCGATAAAGACTGACCATGATCAACTATTATATTGACCCCTGTCGTCTCATGTATCGACCCTGATTGACTTATACAATTTTTTTTGCCGACCGCCATTTTTCGCCGACTTGTATTACTTATGTCCAATAACGGAATTAAAATTTATACTGTCAATAAATATCTGAAGCCGGACTTGATATCCAGTGTCGAAGACATGCTTTGAGTAAAATTGGCTGAGATTTTTTTGTGAAAGAGATGGAGGGGGTATAAATTTGTGTATGCTCAGAAAAAAGCTTGTTTTTTTTGTGTAAGAAAAGTACTTGATAATTCTGAGAACAATTAAAGGCTGGATTTTAGTGGCTTTAACTGATGCGAAAAAACATAATCAGATGCGGATCCAGGGTTGTCTCGAGGGGGAGACTTTTACACAAGAAAAACTAAATTTCAGATCTGAAATAACCAATCTTCAAAGTATTTAAGCGTTATTTAAATATTTCACAAACTATTTCAGATCTGTTTTAAAAATTTGGTGCGTGCGGGAGCCTATTTTAAAGGAACCCTCGAGTATCTCTGAAGGTTTTTTCGGTATAAAGTATTCCGCAGTTTGATCAGAATTGAGGTTTGAGCAATGTCCATTCAAAAGTCAAAAAAGTCGTGACCAAATGGAAAAACAATCATGAAAGTCTGCAACTGAAAATTAGTCCAGTATTCCGACATTTAAGATGTTAGACTATACATTTCATGGCAAAATATCAAATCATCAATCCATTGACCGGGATCTTCATAGATTAAGGGCTTTTTCTCTGCTTAAGATAACGTTGCAGTATATTTGTTGTTTCTTATTATCTCACTGAGTTGCTCTTAAAAGTTGCTATTCAAAGGTTGCTCTCAAGTTAAACGGTTTGCTATATTTTGCGACTGAAGTTTACTTCTTAACACCGAGTACCGGATGGCGAACAGTTTAACTGAAGCAACCTCAGAATTTTTTCAGCGAATACAGTGCCCGCACTCAGTGAAAGAGAAAATAATTGATTATATAACAATTATAATTGTACTTTAATCATAATTATAATTATAAAATGATAAGATTTTTTGAGAAATTTTAATAAATTTTTATCAATTGCATATTTGATTATAATTTTTCCGAAAATCTATTTTAACCTCTTATAATATCTTATAATATCGCATAGTCCCTTATATTCTCTTATAAACTATTATAATCTATTATAATAGATTATTAAACTTTTTCCTGTCAAAAATCTCTAAAAGTGAAATGTCTTGTCAATCTTTAGTTCACCTGAGCACAAGGTTTTTTCACAAAGCAAAATTTTCTTTGAGATCCTTTCATATTAGTTGAAAGAATCACGCGGTAGAACAAATATAACTCTTCTATATGAAACGTGACAACAAAAGCAGTGTGCTGATCTTTTGGTGGTCAAAAACTTGAAATGTGCATCTTGAAACATTTATAATAAAAAAAAATGAAAAAAAAAAACGTTATCAATTTGAATTGATTTGAAAACTGTTTAAATTTTTTTTGCATTTTTCACATAAAACAACGTCTACAAAAAGCATGAAGTATAAGCACTTCAGGTGGAAGGTCGAAAACCAAATGGGCAAACCAAGGTATTATAAATGATTATAGTCAATCATAATTAATTTTTCTGCAGAACAAATAAATTAGAAATATGGATAAGAATAATCGAGAATAGTCGATTATAATGTATTAAATCATAATATAATCGATTATTAACGCTTGGATCTAGATGCGGGTGCTGATTTACATTATCCGGAGGGAACAAAAGAAACTTGAATTTTCCTAGACGTTTTTCTCATTTTGCGTTCTGATTAGACAAAAACTTAAGAGAACAAAGGTTGCTTAAATTTTTATCAGAATTAATATGGTGCATTTTTTCTCCGAAATTCTCAATCAAAATTTTACCCCAAAAATGGGTCATTTTGCATTATTCAATTAATCAAGAATTACGCCGAATTAACTTTGTTAATTGATGAAAAATATATAACATAGCCCAACAAAGTTCTAAGGGGTGAAACCTCCTAAAAATTGAGTAAATTGTTCAAATTTTGTTTTTAAGAAAAATTTGGTTTTGTATAGTCAAAATTACGTTTCTTTACTATCAAGCAAAGATATTTTCTCAAGTACATGTTTTCGGAGGTTTAACCCTTCTAGAAATTTGTTGGTCCGTGTAAGAGGTTTCTTGTGATTCATATTTCTCATCAATCAACAAAGTAGTTTCAGCGCAATTCTTGATTAAATAAAAAAAGCCAAACTACCATTTTTGGGGTAAAATTTTGGTTGAGAATATCGAAGAAAAAATTACACCATATTAATTTTGATGAAATTCTAAGCAGCTTATGTTCCCTTGCTTTTTGTCTAAATTTAATTCAATTTGAGAAAGACGTGTTTCAAGTTTTGTTTATTTTGTCCGGATAATTTAAATCAGCACTGTGTAATCTGATCGTATAAAGCCACCGAATCGGTGTATTAGAAGAAAACAGTGTGAAAAAGAAGAAATTGGTGTGAACATACTCTAGTCTGCTGATGACATTGCGAACTCATTTTTTGTTTCGTTTAGGAACCAAAAATGGAGCCAATTGAAAACGAAGAACCATCGCTCGTAATCAGCAGCCAACCACCCACCCATCCTCAAATAGTGAGACCAAAAGCAGTAAGTCTGCAGGAGAAGAGAGATGAGAAGATAAAGTGGGAGAAGACGAAGAAAGAGAAGGGACTGGCCAAGTTGTCTGAGAAGCGGTTCAGTCTGATCGGAGACCCGTCGGCCTCCAGGCACTTCCTGTCACTCAACAGGAAGAACTACGTAATAAACAACATCCCTCTCCCCCACCCTCTTCTTTCTTTTACATATGTGTTTGTCCCCCCTTCTGAAAATTTAAAAAGGAGGTAGACATCCATCTATGAAAAGTAAAAAAGTCAAAAAAAGAAGGCATTATTTTTCTACCATAATTTAAAAAAAAATATTTGGGAAGAAGTTAAACACAATCCCACATCATAAGAATTTTATTTTCGAAACAACTCGATGTCCGCAAGAAAAAACGCCCATAGAATATGGTGTACATAATTAAATCATGTTCGTTTCCACATTCACCCACAAAGCATCATACAGCAAAAAATTGGTTATAAAACAAAATCTTACCAATAAAAATCTAACTTCTTACCAATAATTTACTGTTATGAAAAGTTTTTGAACTGACCTTAATCATATATGGGCCTCAAAATTATCATTTTTTGAAATTTTTTGGTATATCTCTTCATTTGAAAATAAGTTCGACATTTTGTGTAGCAAACCAGATCAAGCACTCCATTTGCAAATAAAATTTGATAATAAGTTTGGAGTGTTTAATACTATTTTTAACACAGGACTTTGATGGAAAGTTGACAGACTTGAAGCTACACATGCTCAACCGAAGGTCATCTTGTACCGCGCTTCCCGGAATCACAGAATCCAGGATAGAGGAGCTATCGGAAGACGAAGGGTCAGTTGAAGACCAGCCCTCCTTTCTAGAGGTCACTACAAGAGGTCAAGAGAGGTCACACTCGTTCTGTGGCGCCGAATCCAGAAGATTCCAGAACTTTATGGAAATGGGTGCGAAAAAGCAAACGGAAAAAATAAGGATCGAGAAAAATGAGGGAACCTCATTTAATGCTATCGGTTTTGAGCTCGACGTTTCCCAAAACTCATCAATGACGACGAAAAGTGGTCACCCAAATTGTTAATTTATTCTGGGATCTCAATGATCTTGTAGTTAAAACTTCACCCAGTACTGCAAAAACAGTTCGGGAAATGCTGGCAAGGTATATATTTTATGTGCTTGAAAATCTTTCACCTCGTTGCAAGAAAAAGGAGGAAGAATAGTTAACAAAAGATCATAACTCCATTTGCATTACAGAAGTGGATCTAAGTTGGGTGATATATTACAATAGGTGTTACGTTTAGTTTCAAAAGCTGCCCGGGTTGACCAAAAGTGCTTCTCATACAATTCTCATAAATGGAAAATTTCTTGTCATACAATTCCATACAATTCGATACTTACAGAAAATTGCATGAAATCTCTATAATAAACATTTTACCATAAATGAAAATTGTATGACTAAAATTCTTGCCATAAATGGATCTTGTATGACTAAAAAATTGTCATTATGAGAATTGTATGACAAACAGTTTTCAGAATACTTTTTTTCAAATGCGGCACAAATTGCATTAAAGCCCATCTTATAAGCCGTGCAATCTCTGAACAGGAAAAAAAACCTGAGAAAAAAAGTTTTTTTTTTAGAAGTTGCAATCTCGTTTGCTTAATTTTCTGCAGGAAATTTTCTCAACTCTTCAGATATCAGCAGGGTCCTAAACAGGAGAGGGGGTTACCTCAAAAATTTTTATAAAAAACCTTTAATTTTTTTAAAACCTTATATCTGCGTGAACTATCTCCGGCAAACCTCCTGCAGTTCGGTAATCACATCGTGAATCCACTAGTTCTGACATCAACAAATGTATTTTCGCTGAAAAAGAACATAATAAATATTATAACAAAGATGCGAAACTGCAGCTTCGCAAGCACGAGCGACAAAACAGCAAACATCAAGGAGCTTTAAAGAGCACAAAAAAATCAAATTTTGCATTTAATAATTTGAAATATTTTAAGCTAAAGGAACCACACTAACTTTGCATGTAATTGATTAGAAAGTAACTAACTTTCTCTAATATACAGCTAAAACAGCCTAACTTTTCAAAAGTGCCACCAAAGTAGCATTTTCTTTGCGATTAAGGATGGAAAAAAGGAAAAGTTGTAGAAATACACTCCGCTACCGCGCGTGTAATTACTGTTCTTATTACAGCTATAAACAGATTGCAATGATACTTAATTTCAGTCAAAAATTTCAGCCAATTTTTGGAGCGAGCCAAAAGGACAAAAAAAAGTTTTTTTTTCTTAAAAAAAAATATATCGTCACACTCACTTCGAACTAAGCAACGTTTTATATATCAAAAATGAGCTCTGCTATTTTTCTTCCGAAACCTTTAAATAGATATCAAAAAATTAAATAAAACAAAAACCTAAGCTAATCTTATGAGCGAGCTAGAAGCCCGAAATTTGTTTTTCACCAAAAAAACTATATCGTCACAGTGTTTTTTCGTGTACGTCGTAAGATGATAGAGCTATACAAGCTCTTACAAATCTAGTGAATTAGGCATAAACGACTACATTTAAATTTAAAAACTAAATAGAGAAAAAAAGATGAAATTGTTTTAAAAAAAAAAAAAACATTTTTTTTGCACGAAAAAATTCAAATATTTTCAAAGTTTTTTTTTGCCAGAGAAACGCTATATGGGGCATCCAAATTATAGATTAGTAATATATTAGTTAGAACAAGAATGCTTGTATCAAAGCAAACCCTTGAATGTTTTCGAGGCTTTTTTTAGCTCTTTAAAAAGGACAAAGATTTAAAAAAAAATATATATTTTTTTTGAGATTTTTTGGTAATCACTTCCTCACACGCTAAGTAAACAGCAGAGAGATTTAGGTTACATGTGGCTCACTATTGAATTAACCACTCACTCATAATCTATGCATCGATTCCAGGGTTTTTAGACAATCAAAAATTCGACAGCACGACAATTTGAGTGTTCTTTTTTCACTTTTGCCACTTTTTTGTAGAAAAACCCTTCGTTTTGTGCATACTGTATTTTAAAACCATATTCTTATGCAGACCAGTCTACAAACATCTACTATATGCAAAAACTACCTACAGTATGACTAAGTTTTCATTCCCCGCTGTGAGTTAAAATAAAAGTGAAATTGTTATTCAATCGTTTTATCATCAGCGTTGCATATCAAAAGCGGTTAAAAAAGCCGTTACAAGCAACTAAATTTTTAATCACCAATTTTTTGAAAAAGAACACACACATAAAGGAGTGAAAAAAATATATAATTATGATCTTTTCATTTTTTTTGTGATCATTTTAACTGATTATGAACTTGTATAACTGTTTTTATTGATTGGAAAACTTTTTTTAATTTATTTTCAAACTTCAATTTTAATGTGGCTCAAATTGCCAAGCGTTGAATCAGTAAATCATTGTTTTACTATAGAATGATCCTGTAACATTTAAAGCCAATTTCAACGCTAATTTTAAAGCTCTAAAAATATCTATATCAATATATCTTTTCTAAGACAAAGGACGTAATTATAAGGTTTATAGGACATTTTTTTGAAAAAACCTTCCGCAGAAACTTAGAATTTACAGAAAAAAACTAGGATCTTAGTTTTACTTTTCTTGAGCAATGAGGAAGTTTTCAAAGAAAAAAGGAATGAGAAAAAAAAAGAATTATATTTTGGGAACAATTGCAATGGGAATGATTTTTTTGATGGCGCTTATTCAGTTTGACACGCTAATACCAAGCTGTAAAAGTGTAAGTTTAGTTTAAAATTGAAGCTTGTCAAAATGATCTCGAATTTACAAAAAAAACTTGTTTTCAATACAAGTCAGATCATTTTGCCAGCCATGCAGTGAACAAATGTTTTCTTATTTTTTTGATTTTTTGAAAATATTGACGGAATCGTCAACTTCATCACTAGTCGTTTTTAGCGGAATCTCTTTTGAATTAATTGAGTTTTTTTGACAAAAAAGCTAGTCATACATTTTTACACTTGTAAATTTGACCTTTCAAGTGTCCAAAAATTGCCTGATAATTCTACCAACGGCATTTTTTCGCTGTAATAAACTGTGTGACAAGCATTTTTTTCCTTATATGAAATTGAGTGATAAGCACTTTCATCTTATTTGAAAGGAAAATAAAGATCACGAGTTTCGATTTAGATTTTTGTGTTCAATTCTAGATACACGAACATAACGTATTCTCATATGAGAAAACCAATAGGTTCAATCCAAGAATCTCACAGTTGAACTGCATTTTGAGGTTCGCCGCATAAATCAATGTTCTAATTTCACAAATAATTTTATCAAAACAGGTAATTTTTTGTGTTCGACTAAAAAATTACTTGTTCAAAATTTCTAATGTTTGTAAAATAGGACCTATTTTTTGAGAGACAAGAAAATTAGCTTACTATCTGAAACAAACGAGAACACAATTCTAGCTTCACATAAAACAGCTTAACTTAATTGATTTCTGTAATCTTTCTGCTAACAAACTATGTCTGGACTACCTTACAGCCAAAAAAAAATCAAATTTTTTTTGTTTGTGCCTATAAATGCTTTTGCGACTAAAACAAAATTAAAAATTTTGTCCCTGATGTTGGGTTTTAAAGAAAAAGCTGGTCACAAATTTTGAAAAAATGAAATTGTATGAGAGCTTTTTTTAAACAAAAAATTGTGTTTACATTTGCTTTTAGGGTTTCAGCTTCAAAAATCCTCAGTTTGTAATAATGAACTTCGTTGATGTAGAAGAAACCGCTGTTTTTGAAAAAAAAAAAGCTGGTCAAAAAAATGCAGAGTAAAAATTAGTATGATTCGCGTTTTTTCATTGGCTACAATGATCTTTTTGGTTCGTTGAAAAATTTGATTCAAGTAAGCTACAGCAAGTTGATTAGCTTATCTTTCGTTTTGCTCATCTTTCGACGATTGCCATGATGCCTTTGAAGAGCAGCAAGTGAACTGGCTTCATTAGAGCCATCAAAAATGCAGAATTCAGAAAGCTAGAAAATATTTTGAAGATTTTTAGAAAAGTATCTACCATTAGCACAGCAGTCAATATCTCGGTAAATTTATCCTTCGATTTTTCATGCAATTGGAAAAAATGTAAAACATATTTGTCTTTTAGTGGCATTACATCAGTTGTTTCAAAGTTTTCAAGCTTTTCCAAGTCTTCCAATATAAAATGCCAGAAACAAACAATGAAGGAAACTGTAATATCAAGAAGGAACGTCTAAACTAAACATCTGAACGTCTGAATAAAACAGTAGCGACATTAAACATTTATTCAAACGTTCATGGGCAATTGGGTGGAGATGGATGACCCTGGCTACTTAACCAGTTCCGCGTTTCATATCTTTTATTTGGGCCGACTGAATAATAACTTTATCGACTTTTTTGACGCTAAAGGCAATGATTTTGAGATGCGAGCGAGCGCCATATAACACAAAACTTGTGATGAACGTTTCTGGAAAGGGCTTAAACAAGTTTTTTTTCTTTTTTACAAAAACTTTTGTATGATGTAGAAAAGAGAAAAAAATAGAGTCTTGATAAAGTTCTGCGCAAGCGCAGAAGTTCAATTCTTTCAACTGCGAAAATAAAGAAGGTTCGGAAATTTTTCTTCGAAAATAAACACCCTATATCCACCCATGATTTAGAAGAAAAAAAATTTTTTCGAGGTTGTCAACACAATTTTCTACTAAAAAATGCTTATCTTTGACCTTGATAAAAACTTCAAATCACAGAAAAACTCTAACGACTGCAAACCAAGTAATTGTATTTGTCACAGAAGTGATGAGGTTAGGGGAAATGACACCTGCATTCAGAAATTTGGCCCCCCGGACTTTTTTTGACAGATTTTTCTGGTCGATGAAAAAAAATAGTTATTTGTTATACTACTAAAACCAGGGGCTGATTTAGGGGGGCGTGGGCGGATTTTTCCCTCAGAGATTCGACGCTCTCACCAACCAAAGCATCCATTTTCGGTAAACCAACTCAAAACATTTTTGAAGAATATTTAGAGCGCCATACCATTTTTGAAGGACCAAAAATCTAGAAAAAGGCCTAAAACAGCATTTTTGAAGAGTTGTTTCAATATGTTGCCTGTGGCGTCAAGTTTTTTTTCCTAGATTATGACTTTATAGTGTTCTCTGGGAGCGCTCAGAAAACCAATTGG